CCACTTGCTATAAGAAAAAAATCAACAATGAAGACTATTTAAAAGAGATGTTCAACTCGAAAGAGGGTGTTAGTGGTAATACTTTCCACTATAGAATAATCTCCTGCTTTACTGGACAATTAATCTTACTATTCTTTCATTGTGCATATTCATGTGGAAAAACTTGAGCTTTGCCAGGGCCAGAACATGCACAGAGTATGTCCTAATTAGTTAATTGTAAGCTTAGTGAACATTTTTGTGATGGACTCATAGAATCTGGCTATTGTTTTGCTAAATATCCAAAGTACAGAATTCCTCAGTGCTTAGCTATAGTTCTGTTCAATATCTTAAAGCTGGATGCAGTCACATTGTGACTCTTCTCTTCAGGACTGAGATGAATGCTAGTCATCAAAGTCTGGGATGTCATCATAGGAGTAACCCCGGTAGCCTTTGGATACATAGTAGGCTATGCGCAAATGGTAAAATCCTGGCAGGAATACCAGAATGCCAATAATCAAGACAGGAACAGCCCGGTCTGCCCCCCCTTTGCTGATGTAGCCCGACAGCAGGAGGGAGCCTATGATAATGAGAAAAGCTCCAATCAAAAACAGCACTGTGGCAAGTGCAATGGCCTTATAAGGGATCTTAGGCGGGCTTTTCTTAAACTGAAGGTCAATGTAGCCATCATCTGTGCTGGAAAGCCGTGAGTATTTTACTTTACTACTGGGGATTCCAGTAGCTAGGTTGGTACGAGATGGCATCATAACACAATGACACAGCTGCTGTTGTTGCCAACCAAGGCTGCCGGGATGCATGTCACACACCACCTGCGGCGCCCGCCCAACTGCTGCGCCTACCCTTGCATACATTCTTAAGGTGACTTGTGGGCCAATTCATTTACATATTCATGCAAAGACTAAGAAGAAAATAGAAAGTCCTTCTGAGTCCTTCAGTAATGGTTTGTGCTTTCTGCCCAATGGGTATTAAAATCTACTTGAATCTGTGGGAATTTCCATGGGTTCCCTGAAACCTGCTCTTGGGGAGCTCACTAACCATGATTTTTTTTTGATGGATTTACTTCTTACTGCTGCTGCTCAGACTGGAGTTGTCTTGCTGTTTTACTGTCATTTACTCCTTTTGGAGCTAGAAGCAAGAGGCCAACCTCTCAGACACAAAGCCCACTATCCCCATTCTTCACATGGTTTCTATGTCCCACAGCTACAGGTCACACTGTCATAGGGACTTCAGGAGAACATTCTCACCAGGCCCACATGGAGAAGGTCATACATCTCCATCTCCACCTCTACTCCTTTATAGCCCAGAAAGGCTTTTTCCTATGAAAATGCTCCCCTGCACTTTGTATTTAAAATTCACCTGATTACTAAGCTTAAGTCACTTATTTTCAGTATGTTATTTTTACAAACAAAACTTAGTCATATAAAAAGGAAACTTCTAATGAATTTTGAGGTCTCTAGGAGATAACTCTCCTATCGCAGAGATGGCCCACTCCATTTCCCATTGACTCTGGGAGTAGGATATGTCTGGCCACATTCCTTGGCAAGGGAAGACCACAGCATGGTGAGGGTCCTACATGCCCAGCAACTCATCTCTTCAGCATATTCACATGCATCATAGACAGAGCAAAGATGTATGAGAAAAGGGCAGCCGATCCTGAAACTGAACTTGATATGAACAGAAGTGGTTAAGGAGGCCAAGTACTTCTACCAGGAAAAGCTATACACTAAGAATTCAAGAACTGGCCCTCACTCTTTCTGCAACTTTTTGCTCTGAAATGACCAGGCAGAATTTGAAAAGTACTGCATCTTTTGTTGAAAATATCCAAACCTTCATCCCAGAAATTGTTTATTCTTATTAAGTTCTTATTGAAAATATTACAGCTTTCTCTTAACCACAACTATTTAAATTGGAAGAAAAATACCTAGACCTAAACTAGGAATTAGGATTGCAAAAGGCAGAAATAATTTTCAAGATGACACAGAAATGTCAAACATCTTACCGAAATCACATGTCAACTCCAGGCCAAACCTTACACACACAGAGACACAGACTACTATTAGGAGATGCCAGTGATAACAGCAATCCCTCTGATACTCTGGGCCTGCTCTGCTAGAAGAATCTACATAGAACAGGAGCCAGCAAATGAAGTAAAACTTTTTTGTTGCTCTTTGTAGGGTGACCAAGTTTTGAGCAGCTATGTCTGAGGAAAGATCAACTGAAGCCTTCCTCACGGACGATCACCATACTTTTCAGCAGCCAGAACAAATAACATCTTTTTGCTATGACATAATTATGTCCAGTTTCAACACTGGGAATTGTTAATACCATTTTACAATTATGAAGGAAACCAGTTTTCTACTGAGTGCAGCAGAACAGCAAACCCTGGTTCCTCAAATCACAGTAGTATGACTAAGTCACTGTCTGCCTATCTTGGAGTCTGCCACCTTTGGAGTTTGTAGACTATGAAAAGAAAAATGTCCTTGTTGTTCAAGTCAAATTAATTTTCATTTTCCATTACTTGCAGCAGAAGGTATCCTGACATAATATTCTACCTCTAAATATAGAACTTAAAATGCTATTGGTTCGTGTATTTACCTCAAATAAATGTGAAATATATGGCTCAGAAAATAAAAAAGCAGAAAATGATTGACAATGTATTGAATCTCTATGGGGAAGAAATGGCAAACTGCACTAGACATAGGGGTATTTACTACGGAGCTGAAGGGACAAGGGATAGAGGCGCACACAATACACTCAATCCCTACTTAGCCCAAGTCTGGAACAAGTGGCTACATAGCCTTGCAGAAGATAATTCACTTCTCCAAGATTATACTTATTTGTAAGGATAATGAGATCATAGTATATTCTCCTTAGAAAAGCTTTGAGGATTAAAGTAGAAATGGATAGAACTGTCTGACATAAAATAAATGCTTCAAAATCCTATTTGCAGTTCATTTTTATTAATGATGTTTATTTATTATAGATTGTTTGCTTAAGTATTGTTACACTTGGTCCTCATCACAAGCAAATTAAATATCCCACTTTACAGATAAATAAGCATCCCTCTTGTGACAGGTCGCTCTTCAACATTTGACCCTGGTGCTTCTTTTGGCAATACAGGAAGAGAGACTTATATACGAAATAAAAATGCAACTACAAATCTAGAAATGTAAAAATTCAGGGGAAGAGTAGGAAGGGGAGTGAGAAAGAAGAAAAATGCCAGTGGTCTTCTTCATACTACATCAACATTACTAATGAAATGTAGAAACTTAAAACTTAAATGTGTGTTCATAACTACTACAGTTTAGCCTTCCAAGTGACCTGATAACTCTGTAAGAGCAAAATATTCCCTCAGTTCAAATTAAACCTCCACTTTTAATTTACTAGCATGGAGTGAGAGATTGAAAACAATATATACTCTCCTATGAAAACTCTGAAAATACTTTCATTAGAGAATCAAAAACACTCTGCTTTAGATTCTGACAACTCTTGCTAATCACTAAAAAAAAAAAATGTTTTCCATTAGATGGCAGTGTAAACTCAGATTTAAACATTCTAAAAAAGGTTAGTCCCAGGCATGAGTTTAAGATAGACATAAAGCTAACATCTGCAGTATTGACCAAGTAGCTAGTGAAATGACAAATCTAGGTGGGAAAACAATCTAGTTCTTAAAATGCAATGAGGCCTGGTTGCAGTTGGGTGCTTTGTTTACAGTATAGGAAACAAGGCTGGGAAGGTGGCTCAGTGGTAGAGCGCTTGCCTTGCATGCATGAGGCCCTGGGTTCAATTCCCCAGCACTACATAAGCAAAAAGAAAAAAGCCAGAGGTGGCGCTGTGGCTCAAGTGGTGGAGCACTAGCCTTGAGCTGAAGGGCTGAGGGACTCGCCCAGGCCCAGGGTTCAGGCCCCACGACCGGATCCCCCCCCCAAAAAAAAGAAGGAAACAGTGTATTTGATATGACTATACAGTGAAAAAAAAAAATCTGGTGCAAAACTAGTAAAAGGGTGATGGTATACTCACTTCTTTTAGCTTCAAATTTTTAGCTATACTATTTATATTTGATTGTATTAAATACTGTAATTTGGTTTGGTTGTTTCCTTGTATTTTTCATTACAATTTTATTATCATTAAACAAAGGGGTCTCAATTCAACATGTCAGTTTATGAGTATAATACATCTTGATCAACATCATCCCTTTCATCATTCTCCCAAATCTTTCAACACCCACCTATTTCCTCAACTTTTTCATCCTTTTTAAAACTTTTTTTAAACTGTGCTACATTTTCCAGACTTAGGCATTGTATCACAGCCACAGCTCTAATTTTACAAAATTTTGAAACTAAATTCAAGGTTCTTTTCTTCTTAAATTCCTACTAAGAAAAGTGGCCACTTTTTTATTTCTGTTGGAAAGCCAAACTGATTAGAAGAAAATAAGATGTACATCACAATAAAACCTATATAGAATTGGTGCATTAAGTAGCCCTCAAGTCACAACTTAAAAGAACAGTTGTAGCTTACAAAAACAGAGGCAATGCTTCATTTTCCAGTCCAAACTCCAAAATTTGCAAATACATATTAGTTTCAAGAAATAAAATCTAATTAAGGCTCTAACTGATTATGAACCTATTTGTAACTTGTCAGTTAAAGTCTCTATTAATTGTTTATTTAAAGTATCTGTCAATTGAAGCTATATGAGAATATATATATTTGCAGTAAGAATAATAAATCAGGGCTGGGAAGGTGGCTCAGTGGTAGAGTGCTTGCCTCGCATGCCTGAGGCCCTGGGTTCCATTCCTCAGCACCACATAAGCAAAAAAAGGAAAAAGCCGGAAGTGGCGCTGTGGCTCAAGTGGTAGAGCACTAGCCTTGAGCTGAAGAGCTGAGAGACAGCGCCCAGGCCCAGAGTTCAAGGCCCCACGACCAGACCCCCCCCCCAAAAAAAAGAATAATAAATCAGAAATACAAATACAAAATGATGAGACAAAGGACAAAGGGTGAACTAATGCAACAGTGATACAAGATACTATTTTGGAAATGAGCTTTACAACTTCGGGGGTATGAGGAAGAGGGAGAAAAATGAGGGAGGGGGTAACAATATTCGACAAGAAATGTATTCATTACCTTATGAAACTATTACCCCTCTGTACATCACCTTTACATAATATTAAAGTCAAAAAAGACCGTGAGCTAGATTCAAATCCAATTAACTCAAATTAACTACTAATAATTAACACTCTGAAAAAGATTTAACATGGACTTAATTTTTCTCATATTTACAATGAGTAAATGTGGGCTAAGAAATTATACAATGTGTTCAACTCTGAAATTCCATGAGATTTTAAGGCAATTCTGATGCTAAGAAATTACAGAATGTGTTCAACTCTGAAATTCCATGAGATTTTAAGAGCAATTCTGATGTTTCAAGGCCTTTTGCATTCTTTAAATATGAAATTTTTAAAAAAGCAATACATATCTTTTACAAGCAGATCCTAATCTCAATTTAAAGTCAAATTATTTTTTCTGAGTAATTAGTAGTATTTTCACAAATATCACAGCACCATATTTGTAAAGCAACTGTTAAAAATTTAGAATACAAAGGATTTTAACAGTCAAAAGTGGCCAATAAATGCCAGTTGTTAAAACTTGTGGACTGAAAGACGACAGCCTGCATGCTGAGTCCACCAATAAAATATTATTAAATCCTAACACCAACAATATTGTGTTACTCTCATTTGCTTTTTCATATTCAGATATAGCAGCCAAAACACAACAGGTTCTTCACTATTCCACTTTGTACCCGACTCTCACCCATGGAAGATGTCCATAAATACTCTAACAAAGGCCTAGGCCCCATGTTAATTTCATAATTCACAGGACCACAGTGATTCTTTTAAAATAAGCTTTTATAATTCCTCAAACATTCTTCATTAACACTTTTCAATCAAAAAATATTATTAAAACCCTATTATTCTTTAGGTATTGTTTATTCAGACTCTCCTGCCTTTTAATTATAAAAGAAATGACATTAATTTAAAAAATCTGGATTTTAAACTGAATGCAACACCATTCTCTACAAAGACAAAAGTTTGTATTTAAAAAATGTTAAGTAGGTCTGGAGAATAAAATCTTCAACAATATTTTAGTCTGCCTTTCCTTTTCTTTTCTCTGAAACAAGATTTCTCTATCTGAGCTATGAGTATAACTCAGTGTAGAGCATATGTATAACATACACGAGGTCAAGAGTTCAATCTCTGGTCCCATCAGGAAAAAGTAAAAAAAAAATAGAAACAATTTGTCTGAGGTAAAAGAATACAAAGGAATACAAAGACTTTTTAAAAATATTCATTTTAAAACACAAAAAAAGCATCTAGAAAATAATTATTCCTTGTTCATAATTGTTCATTTTCTCCTTGGTTTCCATTCTCTCTGTTGCTATTTTCACCTTTTCCTTTCCTTTTTAATATGTATTTTTATTATAAAGATACTGTACAAAGGGGCTATAGTTACATGAGTAAGGTAATGAGTACATTTCCTATGAGCATTCTTACCCCCTCCTTTTTTTCCCCTACCATCCCTTCCCTCCCTCCCCACCTCCCCAACTTCTCCCTCTCCCCCGCCCCAAGCTGTAAAGTTCATTTTCAACTTAGTGTCTTGTACATCCCATTGTTACAATGGATCAACCTGTATCCTTATTTTACCATTTTGTTATTTCCCTTCCCCTCCCCAAATTAGAAAAATGTATATACAAGATGCACGGCAATGGAACCAACTACAGTGAAAACAGGGGTTATAACATGGGGGAAGTCGATGAATGGATCAAGAAAATGTGGTGTATCTATGAATTCTATACCTCCATCAGAAAGTATGACACCACCCCATTTGTTAGGAAATGGAAAGATTTGGGAAAAAATCATATTAAGTGAAATAAGCCAGGCCCAAAGAAACATAGGTCCCATGATTTCCCTTATTTGCAAAAACTAGTATATGTCTAGCACAAGCAGCAAAGGTCAAAAGCTATGTATATATCACCTTTTATTTTCTTGCTTGCTGGAATGTCTATCCTCTTTCTTGACAGTAAAATTTATTAAAAAAAAAAACTCAAAAATGGACAGAAAGATCCCGGGAAGTCCTTTTCCTGTCCTGAGAACATGCCCAGAGTTCTCTGATGCTATGGAGCTCTTTCCCAGGCAGTAAGGACACAAATGCTTACTGCCCAGTAGAAGCAACTGCTCAGTACCTATCAACATTTCTCACTGCCTATTCCTTCCCTCTTCACTTTCTTCTGAACTAGTTTTAGTGTCTACTGATCTCATATTAATCAATGAGTTGAATAAAAGCTATATTATCTATTCACTTGTTGTATGTCATAATTTTATCTTCATCAAAAGTACTCTTCAAAATTTTACATTTTTCATGGCTAACTAAATAGTACTGAAATTTAAGTAATGATTTAAAAATTTTGTTAATACTATCCCTATATTAATTACTTCTTAAATAAATATGTATGAGGCCATTTTAAAATCTGAGTATAACTTATTACTCTGAAAACTTAAGTCATTAAAAATATTATTTCAAGCCAAGCACTGGTTGCCCATACCTGTAATCCTAGCTACTCAGGAGGCTTGAGATCTGAGGACTGAAGTTCAAAGCCAGTCTGGGCAGAAAAAGTCCATGAGATTCTTATCTCCAATTAATCACTAAATAGCCAGAAGTGGGGGTTGTGGCTCAAGTGGTAGAGCTATATAGCCTTGAGCAAAAAGGCTTGGAGTCAGTTCTAGAGCCCCAAGTCCAAGCCCCAGGTCAAGCACAAAATAAG